CCCTACCTCACATTTATCCACACATCAGGCAAGATAACTAACATTCCAAAACATATTTAGATGTTTTCTTTCAAACAAGGTGATAGCAGCAGCCAAGGGGGATTGTTTTGAGGGTTAACCGAAAAATAAAGAGAGTTTACAACAGTGCTGGGCAAAGCAAATTTTAATAAATGGTAGCTATTTTCAGCTGTGTGACACAGAATCCCAGTAAATTCCACTAATATGCTCAAAAAAAAAAAAAAAAAAGCCAATCTGGGCAGAGTGGCAAAAAGGCTTCTGGCACTGGAGAGGTAGAAGAAGGAAGGTATCAAGGTTAAGGCCAACCTGGCTGCAAGGAGACTGTCAAGGGAAGCAAACACCGGGCAGCAAGAAGGTGAGTTAAGGACAGAACAAAGAAAGGCGTATCACAAAGGGCAGCCTTTTAAGAAAAGATTATAAAATGGGCGTTTCTCTAGTTGTGAAATAGTAGCAACTCCTAAGATTGCAAATGCTTTTTTTTTTTTTAAACTGCTGAGCATATTTTATTTATGTATAAGGGCTTTGAAACTGTTAGAATTCTGGGTTTATAAATTACTTCAAGTTTCACACCAAGACAATTTCCTACCATAAACTGACATTCCCAGCTGCTGGCAAACAGTTGATGAGCTCCAGCAAACTGAAGTAAGATAAAAAGGAGAACAGGGTTCAGCATGGAAAGGAAGGGCCTATCTCTAGGGTCCCCAAGTGTACTGTCATTTAGCTCTACTTGGTTTCCAGGGAAACAGCTAATGAGAAATATATACTGTAACCGGACATTTAACACCCTCCCTTCCCAACTTGTGCTTCCCTTTACAAAAATGGGTGGTGGTGCGATAAGACCTGTTTTGATGAATTGAGATCAGGCATCCTCATGTACATCCATAAATCTTTCCTGCCTAGAACAATATTCATCAGACATAAAGAAACGTTTTGCTAAAGTTTTCCCAAATTTGAAGGTGGCATGAAAATGTAAAAGAGAGAAAACATGATGCTAGAAAAAATTTCCGTTCATTTCCAAAAAAGGCTAAGGTTAACAAAAGGTAATTTATTCTAAATTTAAAATACATGTAAAACTCTACACTAAGTACAAAGAAGAAACACCAGTAAATCAAACATAAACTTAGCATGGAAAACACTGGACAGAGTCAAAGGCTTAGAATTTAATCCTAAACTAAATTAAATAAAAAAATATGCTAGGCAGGGTAAGACATGCCTTTAACTAACGCCAGTAAACAAGAGGCAGTCAGATCTCTGAGTTCCAGGTCAGCCAGGGCTACACAGGGAGACTCAAAATAAGCAAACAAAAACAAAGAAAAGTATATGGTCATTAACTGTCATCTAACTTTTTATTGGGAAGGACCTACAATTTGTATGAAATTCTCCTGAGGAAAGAATGAGTAATACTTCAGATTCAAGCAGACTTGGGTTCAGAATTTAGCTCTTCTATACTCCTGTATAATCTTGAGAGTCTCCTATAAAATATACAGTATCTTTTTGTATATGTGTGTGTGTGAGAGAGAGAAACAGAGACAGACACATGTCTTCTTCCTATGGGTAACCAGATAGATAATATTCACTCACCAATATATGGTAAGCATTCATTTTATTTATTGTATATGTATACAAATGCATGCTACAGTACTTATGTGGAGGTCAGGACAACCTACCATGTAGACTCTGAATATCAGATTCAGGTCGTCTATCTCAGCAGCAAGCACCTTTATCTGCTGAGCCATTATGCCACCCAGCACTATTATTTTTTTTATTAATGCCACTAATATCAATACTGACCAGATTGAAATCCATGTGTAAAATCATTTGACAAGACAAATGGAGTCAAAACAGGTGAGAATCAACAATCTGGAAGATAGCACTTAGCATGAATGACTCAAGTAAAGAGCAATGGTATATTGCTCTAAGGGCATCCATGTCTACCAGCTATGGATAAAACATCATCAGATCAGAGATAAGGCATGGTGGTATGTGCCTGTAATCTCAGCACTGGGGAGACAGAGGCCATCTAGTCAAGAGTTTCAGGCCTCCCAGTGTTGGGAGCAGGAAGAGACTTTTGCCCACAGGTCATCAGAGAAACCAGTAATGTTTCTCTGCCCTTTCAAAGAGAAGGACATATAACCTGTTTGTCTATCCAGAAAGCTGGGAATTGGAAGTGATAAACAGCTTGGTGATCTGCATTATCTGTTGGGCCAGGCCATATCAAGCTCTCACAACCAGGACCAGAGATGGATAGTAATATAAATGACCATTACCTGTATCATCAGGGGCTCCCCCAAGCTCCTACAACCAGGATCAGAGATAGATGATGGTCAAATGACCCTATACTGTATGACCATAACTAGGCCAGATCCTTCCTTAAGCTTAAGCTAATACAGGTAGCCTATCCCTAGAACCCATATTCTTGGAAGAAATGGCACATACTTTGAAATGAGTTTGGATGTAACTATGAACCGGGTAATATATTATACTAGGAAACTTTTTCTCCACATTGTACTGTGTCTAAGTATGCTGGCAATAAACTGCTCTGACTAAGTCACACTGAACTGAGTTTGCATTCTTACCTCTTCCCAGCCTGACAGCTGCAGACACCCCATTCCCACCAATCCCAGGACTGCTATAGTAAGACTCTGCCTTAAAAACGAGTATGACTACATAAGCATGTACTGAGCTGTAAAGCTCTGTTGAAAACCTAACAAGTTTAAACAGAAAGGTTTGTGTGAGTTAAGCATGTCACATCTGTTTATATATAATATCGTGAAATATGCATGTCATTATTCTTTTTTTAAGATTAATTTTATGTGTATGGTGTTCTATCTGCATGTATGTCTGCACGCCAGAAGAGGGCATCAGATCCCATTATAGATGGCTGTAAGCCACCATGTAGTTTTTGGGAATTGAACTCAGAACCTCGGGAAGAGCTGCCAATGCTCTCAATTGCTGAGCCATCTCTCCAGCCCCGCATGCCATTATTTAAGCATAACTTCATTGGAAAATGTCTAATGTTTAATGGATAGAAAAACACAATTTTAATGTTTATTCCTTTGTATCTTGTCAATGTGTTAATCAATTAAAAATTAATTAACTTTAGGGAATTATAGAAATGACTATACTCACAAAGTAAAATAGTAGATATGGAAAAAAATAAAGAAAATTTCTTGACTTTTTTTTTGACAGGATCTTATGTTTCCCAGACTGGCCTTGAATTCCTGATCCTCCTACCTTCATCTCCCAAATGGGAATTACAGGTGTGACCTAGGGTGTCCAGCTCAGGATAAAACCTTTTTTTTTTTTCTTTAAGATTTTATTCAACTTTATTCTTTGTGAAGGTGTCCATCCCCTGGAACTAGAGTTACGGACAGTTGTGACCTGCCATGTGGTTGCTGGGAATTGAATCCAAGTCCTCTGGAAGAGCAGCCAGTGCTCTTAACTGCTGAGCCATCTCTCCAGCCCCTTTTAGATAAATAGATAAAACCTATTCAAAAGTATCTATTGTTCTCAGAGGTAGCAATTGGTAGAATTTAGAGAAACAGCAATAAATTTTGCTCAATACTCATTACACTCCCTTCAGCCACTCTGCAAGGTGACTCCTAACACATAACTGAGTCTAGGATGAACCTGGCAGAGTCTGACTAAGAACAAACCTGATTTCGAGAATTCTCTGCAAACACTGAACGTTTCTTTGGAAATCCTGGCTAGGTTCTCCAAAAATGTACTTGTTACCTTTTAATCACTGATAAAACTAATGATAAAAAATTGGCCTAGCAAATAAAACTAAAGAATGTGGTAGAATTCTGGAATGTTCCCTACATGCTATTCTGTTTCATTTTCTGCTTTGTTAATTGAGTAGCTAAGAGAAGAAATATAAAAGTAGAAAGATGAAAATAGCCTGTGTATCCTTTCTTACACCACAAGTATTCCAATCCATGTGCTTATTCATGCCAGCACAGACTTTCACCACAAGGACAGGTCCACACCGTGCAGAACACAACCTCATGATGAAACTTTTGCAAAAGTCTACCTAGCTACTTGGCACAAGAAACTGGTGTTTTTGTTGCTGTTTTTAAATTTCTCATTAGTAGCTGGATCATGCAAACTGGTTAAGAAAGCACTGTTTGTTGGCTGCAAAAATCTTGAAAAGCAAGGAATTATTTTTAAAGTTAGGTTTAGGGAACCCATGACTAAATGTGTCTGGGGGAGGGGGGCAATGCAAACACACATGATTAATATCTACATCTTAAGAAAAAAATTAATCTTAATCTCACTCCAATTACTTATTAAAATCCCAAAGGGCAAAATTAGGAGGAATTTTACCATCATAGGTGAAGTTTATATGAGCAGTTTGGTGAACATAGGCTATGCCTCAAACTCTAATCCATATGCAAACTACTGACCAATGGTAGTTACAGCAACAAAACTTGTCAAACTAGTCTCTCCTACCTGGTTCCTTGAGAGATCATTTCCCACTACTAGAAACATGAAGTCTGTGCCAACCAATGCTAGGGGTACTAGTATAAAGGCATTCCATTTTCATTTGAACTGAAAGCAATTTGGATGTTTACTCCTACTACCTCGAGCTATTTACATACTAAAAATAAAAGAACAACAACAACAACAAAGCCAAGTTTCATAACTTTATTTGGTGTAAATATTTACACCAAATAATGACTGCTGCTCTGCCTAAATTTTACACATAGGTATACAATGCAAGAAAAAGAGGGCTGCAATGCTCTCAAGATACAGGGCTGCATTAAGAAGGCATGCAACCAAGTCACCAGTCCCTCAAGCTGAACACAGGGCATGCGTTGGCTGAGAAAAACATGTAAGTAGCAGTTACAGGGTTCCATGCCAACAAACCAATGATCTACAAGGATGATTAGAGTCGCAATGGAACCCAGGCACAGGCTGTCTGCTTTTTGATGCTGATTAAAAAGCCAAAGCACACACGTTTCCCCATGGCAGGGTCATACCACTGGACTTGAGCAGCCTGGGTTTTTCTCTCTCCTGGCTTGCAGACTTTGGCAAACGTGGGGTGAGTCCTCGAGACTTCGTAGGTCTCATGTAGCCTTTCACTGGTTCTGCCATTCTGCTTTTGTCTTCCTTCTTCCTTTCACTCAGCACCGTCCGTTCAGATATCCCCAGCATCTTCTGAGGAGCTTCGATCCCATTACCTTTCAACTGGGGGACTTGGGGGTCCTTGTAAGCAGTCACCACTAATTTACCTTCTCCCTCAACACTGCCACATGAGAAACCAGACTGTTCTGTTGTTAGCATGGCAACACACTCCAATTTTGTGACTTTACAAGATAGACTAGTTTCTTTTAATTTATCCTTTTCATTTTCTGGAGGCAAAAGAATGGTATCTAGCTTCTTATCCAAACTATCTGAGCCCTTGGAATCTCTCTCTCTCTCATTTTGGTCCTCAGACAAACTGAAATTCTTTGATTTACTTCTCAAAGGGTCAGGGTTTTGAACTGGGGCCGAGTCTTTCTCAGTTCTCTTCTCCTCGTTCACTAAAGATGCTGGCAAACCACCATTATATGCATGTGTTTCTAGGACTCTGACCTCTTCTGGCAGGCTCTGGCTTTCTGAGGGCACACCAGGAAGGAAGTGTCCTTTAGCTGGCTCTATGGCAAGCTGTGCTGAATGTTTAGAGGACCCATGCTGCTCTAATTCAGATTCTCCTACCTCATGCCTTTCAGGGATTATCCCTACTTCATTCTTCCCGCAATCTGAAAGCTCACCTTTATTTTTAAGAGAACCATCTCCACGACTGTTAATCTTTCCCTGGGCTTGTGTAGTCCCAGGAATGCCTGTGCTAGCAGAGGGCACAGCAGCAGAGGGAGCCTTGGACGTTTCTTGACCCGGGACTCCATCTTTGCTATAAGTATCTTGTACTAATAATTTGGAATTCTGGGCTAAGAATCTCTCTTGCCCACTTTTTCTACAAGTGTCAGGCAAGGAATCATCTTCCTCTACTACCTGAGGAGAAGGACATGGCTGCGTTTCACAGCCTGCTGATCCCATAACCTCTGGAGGAGCTGACTTACTCAGTCCTGATGGTTCTCTCCCAGAGGTAAATGTAATATTTCTATTTTCATCCATATACCCCATTCCTTCAATTCTACAGTCTCCTGTGGTTTCCATGGGAATATGTATTTTTGTTGTATCTGTCCTAATCTCCAAACTGTGCTTCTCAGGAGAACTATTTTTAACTTTTTCACATTTCCCATCATTACTCCTTTTATTAGGTTTGTCAGCCACTGCAGTGTGTCCCTTGGCTACACGTGTCTTGTTTTCCTCGGGTTCTACTGAGGGAACAAATCCTGCTCCCCAGACTGGGTCCTGGGAGCTCCCGTCTGTCACCTTGTCAGCTGGTTCACTAGGAACAGTAGAAGCTTGGCCTGCGTTTGTTTTATTCCCCACGAGAGCCCCAAGTTCAACAGAAGTAGACTCAACATTCTTACTCTTTATGTCAGCAACTTCCACTGTGGGCGTGTGGGAGAACAAAGGAGCGTGTATTTTAGGGAAAGCCTGCCCTAATTCCCCCTTGTTATGGGCTATATTACCATCATCACTCTCCTTCTCTACACAAGGTGGGCTGATGATTTCCTCCTTGCCCTCCATTTTGCTAGGCTGTACAGGATAATTATTTTTAAACTTTTTGTTTCTGCCTTCATTGACTCTCTTTTTAGTCTTTTCAGAAATCCAGGGGGTTGACTCATGATCCATCCAAAGGCACTTCCCTTCCTTGCTCTGGTTACTGATGCCCGTATTTTTAACCTCAGCACTTCTTTCTGTCCTAGCATATGAAGTCTGAGTACAGCTTGACCCAGTTTCCAAAGGAATCAATGGTATGGTGCTTCCCACACCAGCATCAGCCACGTCCCTGGCCACCCTCACCACTGCCTCAGTGAGATCAGTAACAGCCTCTGGTTGCTTTGAAGAATCCAAGCCTAGCCCTCTTCTCAGAGTCTCAATACTCACTATTCCAGGTTCAGGGACTGGCTCACTTGGCATAGGAACAGCTCTCCCCTCCTTCTCACTGGTCAGAAGGAGTGGCCCCTCAGATCTGGTTCCTAACTTCCCAGAGCCTGCTCTGACTTTCCCAGGACTCCTTCCCTTTCTGCTTTTGCTCTGCAGCCCAGCAGCCTGCATTAACTCTTGGTCTTTCAGCCCCTGTGAAGTGAAGAGGCTGGTTCCATCTCTTGGCTTAGGGCATGTCTCTGGATTTATTTCTCTAACATCTTTAGCATCTTTAACTCCGTCAGGAAACATCTGCAGCTTAGTCATTTCACTCTCACCATTGCCTTCTTTCTGACAGTCTTCTACCAATCTGCTGTGTGCAGCACTGTCTATCGGGGATCCTTCCAAACGGGATGGGCCCGCTGCCATGCTGGCATCCACTAAAGGCTTCAGGTGTGATGGAGCTGAGGATCTGTGTTGCTCCTGCTGTAGCAAGTTCTCACCTTGGTTCTCTGGCACTGAGCGGTTACCTCTGTGGTCTTCCTCTACTCTCAGCTTGAGCTGAGCATTTACAACAGTCTCTGGAGGTTGTACTGGACATGAAGTAATGCTATGACTCTCTGCACAGTCAGGCTTCAAGACTTCTCTGGATACAAGTCCATATTCTGTGCCCACAGTAGTAGGCTGGCTGGGACCAACACCTGACTTCAAGGGCCCGGGCGAAACAGGATGATCTTTGGGCCCATCTGCATTGTCGTCCCAAGGTCCCCCAGCTCGGGACTGAGGATATCTCTTTTGCTTTGGTTTCTTCTTCTTTTTCCTCATTATCATTGGCATGCTTTCTATATCCCTGGCCTCCCTGACATGATCTCTCTGGGGTACTAGCAATTCAGCATGAATATTTTTCCTTTGGTTCCCATGCTCACCACAGGAAGATGAACCAGAGACCAAACCCAACTCAGAAAAAGGGTAGGGGCCCAGTCTGGGATCAAGAGTCTTCCATGAAGGAGAACCTTCCAGCAGCTCAGGAGGGACCCTGGCAGGCCTGGCCCGGGCTGACCTGCGGTCACTGGGTCTGCAAACGTGTTTACCTTGTGAGGGAGGGGTACCTGTAATACATGAACTTGGCTAAAATTCTAAACAACAAATTCCTTGTTATCATTTCTAAAAAGAAAGTTTATTTAGTGACTCATTTAAGTAGTCTATTTTCACAGCATTCACTCATTCATTTGCTCGTAAAATGTTTTTTCCCAAAACATTTCTCATCCTTAGCTGGGGTAATCAAAGACCATCACCTCAAGTCAAGAATTATTTTTTTCAAATATATTTATAAAACATTAAGATATTTAAAAAATCTTCACCTTATTAAAGTAGTTGAGAGTACACTGAGAAGACTGAAATAACAAGCTCAGGAACTGACAGAACGGTGAACAGTCAACTCGATCAAAATTTAGTGTCCTCAAGCGACACTAAAGAAATGGAATGTATTGAAGAAAACTGACTTCATAAACTGTTCTAATAATTACCACCACACAATACAGGAACAAAAAATGTCCATCACCATCCCACCACTCATAAGTGAACTATTTGAAGGATTCTCAACTTACCTGAAGAAAGTTCAGAAGACTGACTGCCAGAGGTTTCCTTCTGCTCTAAGTTCTCTAACAGAGAACCTTCATCTACTGGCAAGTTAGACTTTTGATCTGCAGCTTTGACTGGTTCTAAAGGTATAGTAAAAATTCATGTAAGTTTCAGAGAAACAGTATTTCAACTATTTTTCCATCTGCCATAAAATGGAGATGAGAATGTATTTTAGAGAATTCTCATACACTAAACAACAGAAAACCGGAGGGGCATCATCAAGAGGGTTCCCTGTTTTATTCCTTTTTTAAATTAATTTTTGCCTGTTGGTGGTGGCAAATGTCTTTAATCCCAGCACTCAGGAGACAGAACAAGGAGGATCTCTGTGAGTTCGATGCCAGCCTGGTCTACAGAGGGAGATCCAGGACAAGCACCAAAACTACACAGAGAAATCCTGTCTCAAAAAAATAAATAAATACACAATAAATAAATAAATAAACGATTAATTAAATAATTAAATGATCGATTGTTTTGTTTTTTTTTTTAATTTATCTTATGTGGAGGAGCACACGTCACAGCATATATTTGGAGGTCAGAGAACACTTCAGTTGGTTCTCTCCATTCACCATGGAGGTCCCAGTAATTAAACTTAGTTCATCAGGCTTGATGGCTGGTGCCCTCACACGATGAGACATCAGCACTATTTTTGTCTTTGTAAATAAAATAAAATAAGCCAGGTGGTGGTGGTGCACGCCTTTAATCCCAGCACTTGGGAGGCAGAGGCAAGTGGATCTCTGTGAGTTCGAGGCCAGCCTGGTCTACAGAGCTAGTCCAGGACAGGCACCAAAGCTAGAGAAACCGTGTCATAAAAAAACCAATCAATAAATAATAAATAAATAATAAATAAATAAATCAAACAAACAAACAAAAAACCCAAACAAAGAATTGATTTTGAAAGCCAGAGAGAATGATCCAATGGAAAGGAGATTTAATTAATGAGTAACTGAAAAGAGAATTGTTGTAGAATATTTTAAGGTGTGTTACTTTTATTTATGCTCTGGAACATTTGTTTAGTGATGCAAAGATATGTTACATTTGTTTGATTAAATAAACTTCACCCGTGGTCAAGAGGCTGCGGCAGCAACTAGCTGACAGGAAGTGGTATGGGGGAACTGGGGGGGAGAAGGGCTTTTCAGTGGGGGCTGGGAGAAGGTGGAGGGCTTTTTGGGAATCAGGAGCAAGGAGAGGAGGTGAGCAACTTGCTTTTCAGCCTCTCTGAGGAGCAGAATTCCATTTCTACCTTTGAATCTTAAGTTCTTTAGATAGACAGAAATTTAGATTAAATTCCCTTAGTAGCTTTCAAAGAGTCGGGTGCCTAAGGGAACAGAATCTCCTCAGGCTGCAGCTTTGGCAGCCAAACTGCTGCAGCAGCAAAGTTGCAGTTGCTGATTAGGACAGCCGAGGCTTAAAAGGCAGCAACAGTTATAAAGAAAAACAAGAATGATACTTAAGCAGATGGCACTTGTTGCCAAGTGAGGAGAGGTTGGCTTTACTTCAGAGAAGACAGACAGTTTACCCATAAAAACAGTAGAAAGGCAGAAGTAGTGCACAGATACAAATCACTGTGGAGATGAGGTAATGGTGGTTTGTGGATCTTAGCTTACTTACTGCCTCATTTGTCTGGAAGTAAAGCAAGGATGAGCACAAAATGGGACTAGTCATCAAAGAAGAGGGTGAGAACACTGATTAGGAGGAATATGAGTGGACCTGTAAAGCTGTATTTTACCAGGCATGACACTGTCCCTTAGTTTATACCTTAGTAGAGAGAATACTGAGAAAAAGCTGGAGCCCATACCTGGTAGAATCATGCAAGGAGGTACTGCTGACTGCCCCTTGTGCTGGACAGAGTCTAACTGGGAGTCTTTACTTAGTTCTAGGGTCTGTGCATTTTCCTTGTCTTTAATTTGAGCTGCTGCTACTTCTGTTTCCGAAAGCAGTGCAACATCCTTGGCTGGAGTCACGTTGTTGTCCAAGGTCAACCCTGTTCCTAAGGGCAGAATGGCATCCTCAGCCAGGGGAGCCTCTGTTTCTGGAGGCAGAGAAATGTCCTTGATTGAGGCCACCTCTTTTTCTGAAAGAGGGGTCGAATTGTTGATCTCAGTCACCTTTGTTTCTGAAAGTATAACCACTTCTTTGTCCAGAGACACTTCTGATTCTGGGAGTGGAGTCTTATCTCTGACCATGTCCAATTTTGCTTCAGGTGGTGGAGCCATATCCTTATCCAGGATCATTTCACTTTCCAGAGATGGAGTCACGCTTTCGGCCAGAGATCCCTCTGTTTCTAAGGGCAATGTTACATCCTTTGTCAAGGTCATCGGGGTGTCTGAGGGCAGTGCCAAGTCCCTTGCCAAGCCCACCTCTGTTTCTGAGGGCAAGTCCATCTCCTCAGCCAAAGGTATTTCCGCAGAGGACTCAGCATCCTTTGCCAGTGCCACTTCTATGGCTGAGGAGGAAACCATGACATTGACTGGGGTTAGCTCTGTTTCTTTGGGAAGTACCATATCCTCTGGTGGTGCCAAGTCCATTTTTACTGCAAATGTCATCTCTGTTTCTTTGGGCAGTGTCACATCCTTGCCTGGAACCATTTCAGTTTCTGTAGGAGGTGCCATATCCTTGGTCAAAGACACATTTTCGGTCGGCAATACGATATCCTTAACAGGGGGCACCTCTGTTCCTACACGTCGCTCCATGTCCTCCAGCATCACATCTGGATTCCTGGTCTCTTCTGTATCTTTAGCAAATGCCTCTTCGGGTCCTGTGACTGGTGTCGTGTCTGTGGATGAAGACACCTCTGTTTTTCTAGATGGCACCCCATCAGCACTCTTCTCTTCGGCCATCATTTCTAATGCTTGATTTGGCAGCTGCTCTTTTACTGATGCCACTTCTATTTCCTTGGACCGCTCTAAGGAAATTAAGTTTAAAAAATTAGGATGTAGCAGGAATAGAGAGGTGGGTCAGAGGCTAAGAGCACTGGCTGCTCTTTCACAGGACCTGGTTTCAATTCCCAGCACCCACATGACAGCTCACAACTGTCTGCAACTCCAATTCTAGGGGATACAACAACCTTACACAAACATACACGCAGGCAAAATATCAAAGCACATAAAATAAAAATAAATAAACAAAAAAAAAAAAAATCACCAAGATTGGAAAAAGCACAGGGACAAACAGCCAAACTAGTGGAAACACATGAACTATGAACCAATAGCTGAGGAGCCCCTGGATGGGAGGAAGGAGCAGAAAGGAGAGGGGACAGAGAGCCCACAGTGGGCCCACCTGCTTTTTAGGCTGGGAAGCCAGTGAAGGCTGATGACGTAATTAAAGACCAAACCCTTACAGCCCCCAACTGGATCAGGCCCTCTGGATAAGTGAGACAGTTGATTGGCTTGAACCATTTGGGAGGCACCCAGGCAGTGGGACCGGGACCTGTCCTCAGTGCATGAGCTGGCTGTTTGGAACCTGGGGCCTATGCAGGGACACTTTGCTCAGCCTGGGAGGAGGGGACTGGACCTGCCTGGAGCTGAATCCCCAGGGGAGTCCTTACCCTGAAGGAGATGGGAGTGGGGGGTGGGGGGGGGAGTAAGAGGAG